TCTATAAAAAAAACCCAGTTCACGTACATTTTTGTCTTATTAAATAATTTTTCTAAACATAATATTATATAAGTTCGCATTCATAACTCCATCAAGGTCCACTGCTGAACATAGAAGAACATAGAACATATATGGGGAGGCCCCATATATTTGCTCATAGGAGGCATATTTGGCAAAGTTGCCACGCTTTACGAGTTATCAGTAAGAGTAAAATGTTAATATTATGTAACGTATATGTCGATACCTCAAACGTAAGTTGTTGTATGCCACAAAAATTCCGTTGATTCCGGTCCGTTCATTTAAAGTGAAAAAATAGGGTAAACACAATTTTTTCAAGGATTTGTTAGACGTAATTAGTTGTTGTAACTTTCGAATGAGAACGGTTCAAACATTGTATAGACTTTTGCAATGGTTTACGCGCGTTGCGGGACGGAGAGAATCACGTGCTCGCGTCTCATATTGGTCACATACAACACACTACACCCGACTCTCAACCAGTCGCACGTATGAAGGAACCATTTGAGTTGTCTAAAAATTAAATTACATAATTAACAGTAATTCAAATAATTAACAATGAAACGTTCTGTAACAACGGATTTATGGAGGGCGTAGACTATGTGATATAGTCAATGATTCGATTACACAATGTACTAGTTACTCTAATATACCCATTGAAAATATTAATTTTTCTTTAGATGAAATAGATAGTTTTCATGATTGAAACCTCAAAAATATCACAGATATGTTTTTTTATATTATTTTATTAGCATTAATTAAGTTATTATCACTTTTATGTGGTGATACCACCCTAATAAACATATTATACAGGTGATCTATTCAACAGAATAGATCACCTACAACAGTTTACGTCGTTGAGCGTTCATTAATAATATTGTATGCAATACATATATAATTTTACGTTATAGGTATATAATAATTATATATATACTACATTATATAAATCACGTGTCACGTTGTTTGTCCGCAATGGATTCCTAAACTACTTAACCGATTTTAATCAAATTTGCACACCGTGTGCAGTTTGCACCAACTTGAGAGATAGGATAGGTTTTTGCCCATGAGTGACCCACATTTTTTTTGCGAATTTAAGGATTTTTAATAGGACATGACAAAGGGTCGTCTAAAAGGGCAGTACAACGTCTGCGTGGCAAGCTAGTGTATATATATATATATATATATATATATATATATATATATATATATATGTTTTTTGTATGATGGCATACTATACTTTACGTAGCTTAATTTTTTTTTACTTAAATATAAAGTTGATTTTTTCTCTAAAATTTGCTCTTATAAGCATTAAAATTATAGTTTTATTACTGTTTCAGTTTCTTCATTCCCAATAAGTATTAATGAATCAACTGATGAGTTGGCAAATATAATGGATGTTGACATCTATAACAATAACAGAAGTAGCAACACTTCTGATACTGCAAATTTTGAGACACAACACTCTTCCCCTATTTGTAGCATCAATCACTTGAACTTTTGAAAGGTTTCGGAGATCACGAAAAATTGAGAAAAGCAATGTATGTATGTGGTTAGCTTATTTAAGAAAAAATAAACGTAGAGTATATACAAATACCGTTTTAAGACACGTAAGTATATATTAAAGTACTCATTATCTATACAAGTCATGGTTAAGATATTATTAATTGTATGGATCTATGCAAAAAGCATTTTGAAATACTATGTTAGTAAAACAATAAAAAACATAACAAATAATAGAAAACACAGATTATCAAAATCACGTTACAAACAGGAAGTTCATATATAGAATAAGGGTGACAAACGAACACACAGTCCATCTGAAGGTAAGTGGATACTGTGGCTCATAGACATCTACATTTAACCTTGATTAAGAATCAAATGCAGATGCGTTATTACCCCTGAGGACTAAGATGGAATGCCTCAATTCCAGTAAAACGGGTCTCCGGTTCTCTACACATACCATACGAAACACAGCAGCATTAAGCTGCTATCCTTCCCCGGTTGAGCTGACCCATTCATGCTATAACCATAATATAGATACAGCGTGGCTGTACCATGTATAAATCCCGACAATTATCCCGACAACTTATGAATTATGAAAAAAATGAAAGCAAATCATCTTTTGGACTTTTGATTTCCAAAAGATTCTTAATGCACCTCATGGACAACTAAGTATTTTTATATTACAAGAATGTTGTCAGTTTTAACTTTATCTTGTTTGATCTAGCAAATAATGAGTTTCATGGTTATATTTAATACGAGGGAGAAGCTAAATGTGATTCGAAAGAGTTAGCAATGTGTTTATCTCAAGTTAAACAAAAAATGCATGAACATAGCGCAAAATAATTTTGATTCTGGTCTGATAATTGTCGAATTAAGTTTGCGTTTTATGTGTACATTGCTCATAAACTTAACATTACTATAAAACATACATTTATAGAACAAAGACATGAACATCAAAGGACAATAGCGTTCACGCTTTAATAGAGCGTTTATCTAAAAACTTATTTATACACCTCTGAAATGGTTTTGCTTGTTTAGATGAGCGAAAGAGGACGGAAAACTATGTAACGTCATGGAAATGAAGCAAGCCTTTTTTATTATAAATAATTGTTAAACGGGCGTAGTTGGTCAAACAATATAAGTGAAGACGTAATTAAATGGAACATAATGAAAAAGTGAGGGTATTTGTGTGCAGGAGATCCTTTTTAAATTGACTATCGGTGCGATTTAGTAAACAGTAATGCTATGACGATTGCCATTAATATCAATACACGAAGATGCCAAAGAAACTGTATGACTGAGCTATGCTCTCACTATTCCAATCATCTTCCATTAACAAATCAGGATATGATGATTTAATGAGTCTCTGTCACAGTGGAATTATTTCAGCTACACATCATGACTTTTTCAGGAGTCTATCTTTTATTGCAGGCTCTCATAACGATGTTGAATTTTATGATACAGAGAAATATATTTATCATGCTTTTATTATTTTATAAATTTATATGTAAAAAATGTATGTTCTAATATGTAACAATATTTTATAATTTTTTTTTTAATTAAGCATCTTCTTTGATATATAATTCATTCTCATAAAAACAATATTGGTTTTTTTTCTGATTTAAGGCTTTATTGAAACCAAAACTTAGGTTTATTTAATTTAAATTAAATAGTTTTAAATATAATTTTGAAAATTGTTTTATTTTAAACTTCCAATGAAACCAAGAATAGTTAAAATGCCAATAATTATAAATACTTAGCTGATTTCTAGTTATCTTGATTTGAAGTTGATCTCGTAGAAATTATTAAGCAAGAAATATTTTTATTTTGTGTTCCATAACATACATTTTTATACATATATTTTAATCAGTTCTAAAGGATAATTTGAAATGTTACTTAAATATCGTAGAAAGTGAGACAGAGTGAGAGCTATATTTTGATTTTTTTGTCATAAATTGAAGATGTATATTATGATCCTTTTATATTTCTAAATAACCTTACTTTGAGTGTTTTATTTACGAATTTTTTGATTAGCTAGTAATTGAAGACATTATATAATTTTGTAAGTATAATTAATGTTGTTTTTATTTATATTTTAAAGATTTTTTCTAAAATCTAAATGCCAATATATGAATGTTTGTACCATAGAATACTATAATACATACATAATAGAACGGGGGACATTTTAGTGACTACGGGGCGGAGCCCCGCGTAGCCACTAAAATGTCACTACACGTCAATTCACACGTATAAATGTCAACACGAGATTTGTTTTGACGTTACAATCGTTTCCAAATTTCGCATGCAAATTATTTAGAAAATGCCAAATTGCACCCTATTTACAAACAAATATGTATTAAAATTTTATGATGATCTTGAACATTAATTTAAAGTCTAAAATGTGTGAATTTACTCAGTCTGTCAACATAGCGAATCGGGTTTGCCGACGAAAATCCTTGTATAAAATAAAGCCTCGTATAAAGTAAAAATGGCTGTCACCATTCTTTTATTATATTATTATATTATAGTATTCTATGGTATGTACATTGCATTGTTGATAAAAACGTTCCTATATCTAGATGTGTCGTTCCTATTAAATATTAAATATTAAAAATGTATACGTGATAAATTCCTTTTTTATTTCTAAACCTAGTATTTGTTCACATACAATAATATACACTTAAATTTTAACCGATCTTTATTGTTATTGCCATATAGTTAGAAACAGACTTATATTTTACAGTGCGTATTGTTGTAACTATCATATACAAAAACTAACGAAATCTAAACTCCGCGGTATAATGTCATAAGTATGATACAACAATTGGCGCAGCCTGTACTCCGTAGTAAAATGTTGTCTAAACGATATCTCAGAAAAAATACATATTTAAAAAATTGTCTTTCAGTACAGTCAAAAAAAGTAAAAAATGTAAAGTTACAGCTTATATACGTCCTACTGTTGGGCACAGGCCTCTCCTCATTTCTGAGAGGATTTTAGGGCAAGAAGGTGTCCGCCGCGCTGACCCAATGCTTTTTGGCGAACTTCACATGTCTTCGAACTATTTTTTTTCCTTATTCCTCAGACATGCAAGTTTCCTCACGATGTATTCCTTCGCCGTTTCCGATTGACACATGGTAAATCAGCACTTAAAATTGCAATTAACAAATTCGTTGGTGCCGACACAGCCAAGAATACTATAAATTACATTTATATACCAAATTTCGCAAAAATACAATAAAAATACATTTTAGTCCAATTTGAATCTTAAAAATGCTCTATTGTATAATTGCAGTATCGGAGATACGTAAATGTTATCAAACAATAAATAAAATAAGATATAAAATCAAACATCGTCTTTTATAATTTCATAAAAATAGGTATTAGGGGGGGGGGAGGGGGGGGGGGGGGGGGGGGGGGGTCGTGGTGGGTGGGGCTGTGGGCAGGGGGTAGTTAATAATCTAAGCATCATAATTGTACTTACTTGGATTTGACAAAATATTTCTCCGTACGGCCAGCACTTGTATAACGCTGGTAATAGCGCCACAGGAGCTATGAGAATACCCGTAAACAAATCGTTCAGAGCTAGTGATGTCAACAGGTACCTTGGCTGTGAATCAATAAGTTTGATTATTAAACACCATAAATTTAAAAACCTTTAAAAATGAGAAAATAATTAAACTACGAACCTGATTTTCAATATATTTGATATAACGACGATTATTTAAAACACAAATAAGCACAAGGTTAGCAAAAACTATTCCCATAGACAGTGTAAATATAAATAAAGCCTTTAGAATATCAGTTGGAGCTGGTAATGCTGAAGGCCAAACGTTAGCATTCAACCAACACGAGCTGTTAGATAGAGATGGCGCTACTAGCAATGCGCCTTTAGTCGAGTCAAACATAGTCGGCGCCTGCAAATAGCAGCGCACAGTTCTTTTAAATTAGACATTTAGATCATTTGCAAGGCAAACTTCACTTGCTTCAGATTTTTTTATATGTATTGGGTGACCAGGTTTTCAGATATATCATGTATTAATTTTATTTCAACATACATATTGGGCTTATTAAGCAATCTAAGTAATTTTTTCTCGCGGTGTAAGATCTGAAACAAAACATAGATTTCATTAGATACACATAAAATCGAATTTTTTTATAAAAGAGTATAAAGTATCTTTTGCAAATAAGAATAATAGTAGAAAAACTTTTGGATGACTATTCATTACAAGAGGCAAGTTATATTCCATTCTTAAAACGTCTAGCTATATTTGCTCTAAAACGAGTGTTTTTCAATTCAAATTCCTGCGTTTGTACGCACTGCACACGGAACTTAGACAAGTGTAATTTGTAACATACATATTCAGAATTACATTTGATGCCGCAACTCCAAAGATAATGTACTGCTATCTTTTTAAAATTTTCAAAAAGATGTGTTGTCTACTTTTTCATTTTATTGTTTCGCGTCAGAAATCTTACGAAAAGCAGCCAGAATAATGTCTAAGATTCAAGCTTTTAAAACTGGCGACCCAAACTGGTTTGGCCTGGATAGGATATTAATACAGTCTATTAATATGGCTTTATTTAGATTTAAGATTTTTATAAGATAGGCTGACAAACGAGTACACAGTCTACCTGATGGTAAGTGGCTGTTGTGGACCGTAGACACCTACATGTATCCTCGATTACGAATCAAAATGCAGGTGCGTTGTCACCCGTGAGTACTAAGATGGAATGCCTCGTTTCCAGTAAAAAGGGTCCCCGGATCTCTACACTCACCATATGAAACACAGCAGCACTAAGCTACTACTTTACGCTGGTATTCTGTGAGAGCGTGGTCCTTCCCCAGTCGAGCCGACCCATTCGTGCTACAAATATACTACTAATATAACTGTAGCATGGCTCTATCACGTAAAATCAAAGACTAATCATAGAACATTTAATTTAATAATTTTTCACTTTATTTTTTAAAAACTTAAAGTTTGTCGGATTAAAAATATAGCCTATATCTCTTCTGGCATCGCACTCTATCTGTTCTTAAAATTTCATCGCAATCAGTTCAGTCATTTCGAAGATTAGATCGGACAAACAGACAGACAAACAAACAAAATTTTGAGAAATAGTTATTCATGTATTAATATTAAGCAAATAACCCCTTCAGCTTAATAACGTATACTAAAAATATAAATAAAAACACTATCTATTTGGTGGATTTAAGTAATAGTAAATACTTCCGCAAATATTTTCTGCAGGGAAAGGGAAGAAAATAAGAATGAATAGAAGTAAGTATTTACTGTTTGTTATTTTTAATAAATTAAAGTAATAGAATACTTCACATATATTAAAACAGCTAGGATTAAACGTCGTCTCATCTCAATGAATCAAATTTTAGGTAACTAGCTTTCTGCCTGCAACTTTTTCTACGTGCATTTTCAAATAAAGTAAATAAAAGCTTTCAACGACTGTCCTTACGAATATCGACGGTCATGATAAAACACAAATTGAGAGAGAAACGTAATTGGAATAAAAATACATCTCGGCGACCACATCCAGTGAATACTGTGACTTCTACATTTTATGGAGAGCTTTTACTTCAAAACTAGTTCCGTTGCACAATTTAGGTGCTATGTATAAATCTTAATGATTTCTTAGCAACAACAGATTCCCCAACATTAAAAAATATGATGGAAGGCTAGAAGTGTTATTACATCCAGTCAAATTCCACTTCAAGACCTAGGCCTCCTCCAGATAACCTCACGGGGAGGAAATTCGCCACAGTCGCCACGTTTGTCAGGCGGATTGACAACGGCAGTTTTTTTTTAGTTAATATTACCAACACGCTGCTGAACATCTACTGGTATGTTTCTCGTTTATGGTCTCTTACGACACCCTCGCCTCGGGATGAATTGAAGCAGTGGATATTCTTGCACAGAAACAAATCAGGAGATGGGCAGTATAGTCTTCCTAATCAAAACTAAAAATAAAAACTGTAGTTGCCGACCCGCTTGCAAAGTGTAGCAACTATGGCAGAGACCTATATTCAGCAGTAGACTTTAGTAGACCGTGACGGTAACGGTAACGGTAGCTGGCATAGCACACGGTAGGTGGTGCGATGACTTGCTCACTGGAGTCGACAATATTGCCACGAAATATGAACCATCGTCACGATAAATCACACATAATGTGTTAATATAATCTTATTGGAATACGCTCAAGTTATTCAGAAGTTAAGCGATTAACAACAAACTTACCAATCATTATATTATATGCATATGTAATAGTTGGTAAGTCTATAATCTTGATAAAGCTATTATTAATACGGGACCTAGCTTGATATTTTCCGTACTGTATTACGTAGTTCACTTTAGGCAATATACTTCCGATTTAGGTCAGGGATAGTTTGTTTACTTGGCTGCGACATGAACTTGGCAGAAATATTAGAACCTAGTAAAGCCTGCCATGGTGATATTTCTGCAAAACACATATTTATTTTTTATATATATATATATATATATATATATATATATATATATGTTCTATGCTTAAAATTGCAACACATTTCTAACAAGTAATAAAATTAAAAGTTATGTACAACTCACTTCAATATAAATAAAATGAGAACATTATCAATATAGTCGAAGTCAATTAAATACGCATTGTTAAGGATAACTCTAAAACTTCTGGTCAGATCGTGATCAAATTTATATGGAACCACAAGAGAAACACCAGCTATAAAATAAAAAAACATCAGATTCGGTTCACCTAGGAAAAAGTTCTGAGGTAACACACATAAAAAATATAGTCGAATAAAGAACCTGTTTTCTTTTTTTGAAGTCGGTTGATAGAAGTAAAACTTTTGAATGGATTGATTCCTTATTGATAAAAATAGATTATAAAGCCGAGAACAACCTACACTTTACATGCATTGAAAAAAAAATTGTTACTAGTACGAGTATATCATTAAAAACATTATATCGTTAAAGACACTTTTAGATCCTACAAACATTGTAATGTTTACTTAATGTACTAATATGGATGCAAGGAATAACAAGCCAACTTTTTCATTAAAAATTTTACGTAAGCATTGCAGAGCTACGCTGAAGCACGAAAGTGTCAACCCGATCGGGGATGGACACCACGCTCGCACAGAATACCAGCGTAAATTCTATTGTGGGTCGTATGATGAGTGACGATAATTATAAATATTTTTAGTCAACTTCAAAAAAGCATAAGGTCGCAAACTTACTAGGTAAGGTCTCGTCATTTTGTGAACCGATTATAATAATTCTTTCTATTTATTTTCCCACGTACATTTGAAGTAAAATTCCATTTCTAAGGTCGGAAAACAGGGTATGAAGTTTTATTGTAACTATTTAGACGAAGAAGTTGTTACCTTGATCTTGTAATATTACTTAACGCAGTCAAAAGGTTTAAAAATTATCGTGCGTATTTATACATTTATTTCTACTTTACCGAAATTTTCTTCATATGTCGGGGTATACTATAACACCATATTATTATAAAAGTTCGGTTACCAATAGAAATAAATAAACATTGAGATACCATCTGACCAAATGTAGTAAAAAAAATCCTATCATCTCCGAGGTCACAAGGCAGTCACTTACAAATGCATGGAGAATTGGGTCGATGCCAACAAAATATGCTTTGGCTAGAAGATAGCCCAAAGAATATAAATGCATAATTATCATAAGACAAAACACTGTTCCTGATAAATGTGTGGAACACAGTATTCACACAAATGGGCCTTCCTTTCTTATTTCTCGCCTCTACTATTTCCTAAGTAAATAATAATTGCATGAATAAGTATTAATTTTAAACTTAAATGAGTAATTAGTATTTTGAAGATTTAGATATTTTAATCGCATATTTAACTTTTATTGCAAAATTGATTTTATGTAGTAATTTTAACGAATATAACTATGATATAGCTCAACGAGTTGATATTTATTTGACTGAGCCATAAAGAAAAAAATGTATTTTAAAAAACCATAAGATATAAGCTACATTGTACTGGAACTAAAATAAAAAGTAGTTGAGCCAAACACCATAGCCTTTCCTCCACTGTGACTAAATTACTTGTCAATAAATTACCTGTCATTTGGGAAAAAAAATTACCTGCATTTTTACCCGTAAATATGTAATCTAATATATAAAAATTAATATATGTTTGTTCGTATTTTATGCAGCTGAATGCGATTACGTTTGTGACTCATCAGATTGCCATAAACCTTTGTCAATATATCGCTTGCACTTCCGCGATAGGCATAGTTGGATCCGGTAGGTGTGGAATCCAAATATCATCCCTGCAAAGCTTGGGCAGATCGCCAGTATAACATAATATAATATTATATTTTAGAGACAGCAATTGTGAAGCTACTTCTGTATTTTGTTATGTTAGTGCTGCTAAATTTTTAGCTTTTACAGTTTTATCTGACTCAGGGCTCGCGGTGCGGGCTCGTGAGCTGCGGTAGGCCGTGAATTGTGTATGAAGGAGGAAGGCCGCAAACTATATACAGGCATTTGCTGTAAATTTTCCATCCTTGATTTTTAACTAAGGCATTTTGTTTGTTTAATTTAAAACATTTTGTGAGTTTAATAAATTTTAGCATTCAACTAAATCGATATTTAATTTATTAATTTAAAATATATCTAAAATAGAATGATAACCCTAATTTTAAAGCAAATACACTGGATCAACATTACTGTGGCTCGTGGTGATTTTGGACTACCCGAAAAGCGAATTTCT